TTCCCTGCTGCTCTCACGCTGCTTTGTCAGGCTGGGCTCCATGGCATCTTTGCAGCCAATCCCTGTTCCTTCATCCGGCCCCACCTTGAATAACTCTTCAGCTGCAGGTGGAATGTGCCGGAGGGTCCTGCGCGTGTTGAAGGAAGCACGACGGAGCCTCCCTGGGAGACGAGTGGTCAGAACCGCACGGGCTGGGCCAGCAGCGCCTGCAGCCTTTCAGCATGGAGGCTGGGGCTGGCGCAGGGATAGTCAGTGGGCAGCTTCAGTGGGCTTAATCCTTTTACATTTTTATTATTTCTTTTTCCCCATTACATTTTTATCCCCTCCGTGCCCTCTTCCCAGTGGATTTAAGTCTAAGAGCTAAGAGGCTCTTAAAGGAGAGAATTCGTCCAGAACGGGGAAGAAGTGGGGGCCGGTGCTGCTGAGCCGTCACAGAGTCGCTGGTTACGCAGGGGCAGAAGCTGGGACAGAGAAACAGGGTCCTCCCAGGAGGGGACCCACAGAACTGCGCACGCACCCCTTCTTCCTGAGAGGTCACGGAAAACATGACAAAATCTAACGCGGGAGCTCTGTGAGCGAAGCGTGCGGGTTTGATGGGCCCGGACTCCTGGACCATTTCCTCCTGGAGGCTGGTGGCCACGCCGGTGGTCACGCCGATGGTAAAGGAGGCGAGGGGAGCGGGCTTACTCTGCTTCTCAGATGTGGCCCCAGAGACTTGGTTTGAAGGCTGATGCGGACAAGAGTGCCTTTTGTAAAGCCAGGACACCTAAGCGTAAATAGAGACCTTAGTCCCCAAAGCCTCCCCGCTGATGTCCTCGCGGCTCATTCTACCCCAGGGAGCTGGTCTGCCACTGGCCTGTGGTGCCGAGAGCACCCACCGAGTCTGCAAATAGAGCATCCATCGGGCTCGCCCCTGGCCCGGCACTTCCTGCTGTGTGCACAGGGGCTGGCACATGCCCCGAGTACCCAGGACTGAAGCCCTATCAGTCACTCACATCTCAGCTGGCAGGAGGTGATCAGATCGTCCCTGGAAGGAATGTTTGCTGGGCGGGGGAGGCAGGATGCCAACGGGGACCGTGCCCGGTGAGTGTGTGAGAGAGGACACCACCCAGGAGGAAAGGGGCGGGGGGGAGGGCACCGACACGCTGTCTTCATCACCTTCCCCAGCGCTGGCGATGCGAGCAGCATGTTGCTCAGTTGGAGGTGGGGGTTCCTCGGGGAGAGAAGGGCCCTGCCGGGCACCAGGACTTCGCCAGGCCTTTCGGGGGCTTGCCGGGGGCAGCCCGCGGAGTACGGATGGCGACGCTGTCAGTGCGCGTGGTCGAAGACACGTGTGGCTGGAGGGACCGAGGGCACAGCAGCTCGGTGCCCACCTCCGGGTACCCGCCCATCAGCCGCAGGGCCCGCTCTCCACGAGGGTGGGCGGCCAGGCCAACGCAGGCTGGAGGGCAGCCAGAGGTGTGTTTTCCCAGCACAATGCCTGGGCCAACTTCTAAATCTGCCAACTGCAACTTGAAGACTGTACATTTTTGAGATCTTGTCCCACCCTGATTGATTAACGCCTCCTCCCACACTGGGCTCTTGCAGTCCACAGCGTTAGGGGAATGTACCCTGATGTTTGCCTACAGACATAGGTATGCTCACGGTTAAAAGCCCTCCTGGGGGAAGAAAGAAAATAAGAGAAGAGAGAGGCAACATTTAGAACCATTCCCATCAACTTCATGGTCTATCTTTGTAGAAAATAACTTTAAAAATATATGTTTTTATTGATTTCAGAGAGGAAGGGAGAGAGATAGAAACATCAATGATGAGAGAGAATCATTCATTGGCTGCCTCTTGCACGCCCCACACTGGGATTGAGCCCTCCACCTGGGCCTGTGCCCTGACCAGGAATTGAACCGTGACCTCTTGGTTCATAGGTCAACACTCAAACCCTGAGCCACACTGGCCAGGCCAGGGCCTAACTCCCTTGGCGATCTGGAGTGTAATTGTGTTTGTTTGTTTGTTTTTCTCTTACTTTGATCGTGAGCTCTTTGAGGCAAGAGCTGCCTGAGTCTCAGTCACCTGTGGATCCCCAGGTCCTAACACTTTACTTGACACAAAAACAGGTGTTCTGTCAGGTCGCGTAAAGGAGAGATTAACGAGAGGTGTCTCTCCCTGAGGCTCAAGCCCCTGCCCATGGACAAGTGGTGGGCGACAGAACTGGAACATGTGGCTGCTTCCGCTGCAGTGTGTGCCTCAGGCCCGGGCCCGGGACAGAAGCCAGCACGCAGGCCTGTGGCCTTTCACATCACGGCCACAGAAACGGTCTCAGTTCGAGTCCTTAACCGTTCCTACGCTGGGCCGGGCACCTGACATCTTAATCCTTTGGGTTTCGCTGATTCCCAGTGTATTTGCACAAGAGGACTTGCCTTGGCACTGCCTCGCAGCGAAACAAGTTCGGACTTCTGTGCAGAGGAAGTTCGTTGCCGCAATGATGGATTTATGGCTTTTTTTTTTTTTTTTTGAGGAGCATCATTTCTTTCCCACACCTTCCAAACCTTCCAAACCTTCCAAACCCTGGGAAGATGAGTGATGTGATACTGAGGTCTTGTGCAATGGTTTGCTAAGGATCGCTCACCACGTGGATGGTGAGGAGGTGCCTTGGATACGTCTGTACTGGACACGGGGCTTGTGACACGTACGCGGGCTCTCGGCTCGACCCCGGTGCTGTCATTGAACATCTGACAGGGGGGATGCTCAGAGGTGCCATGATGCCATGGAAATGGGCGCCCACTTGGCGTCAGATGGTTCCCACTGGACTCTGACCCTCAGCAGTCCCTACCGTGGGGTGGCAGAGCCACACAACCGCTCGGAGCCTTGGTTTTCTCTCTTTAAAATCAGACGAGTGCCTCTAGGGCATTGTGGGAACCAATGTGGATAGGGTGCAAGAGAAGTCTGGCAAACATTATTTTATTTTATGGCTGGTGAGAAGCAATCTCGATCTTCCTTCTCCCATGTCAAGGTGAAGTCTACATGTCGACCTCTATTTTCTTTTCCCTTTCCCCTCTGGTCATGGAATCCTGGCGACCGTTTTCCACCAGATCTGAATTAACAATCACCCCCAGCCACTAAGCACGGTGGGTACTCCCTCTCATTCCACTCGACTCGGTCTTTCAAAAGTTGAGTGCACATCACTGTGTGGGATCCTTGTCTAATGTCCTGTTGCTGTCCCAACATACGACATACTCAAATGCGGTGTTTCAAACGGGCTTAAAGAGCACAGAACAAAAGGATCTCATGTCGGATGATGGCATGAGACATGCGCTTTCAAACTCTGCTGGAGTTTCTCCTGGTCATTCGCGCTTGGTTGTCATTTATCCACACAAAACCCGAGACTGGCATTCAAATCAGCCCCACCGTCCGGAACTGCCTCACCAACATGCACGGCGAGTGCTGGACTCTGTGTGTGGTGATAAAGAAAACAACCAGAACCAGAGATGCTGTGTGATCACAGACTGACGCGTGAAGCTGGGAATAAGCCACAGGAATAACCGGGAGGCAGGCTGGTTAAGGATCACAACGAAAACGCTGACGACTTCCGCTCTGGTTTTGATAAACAAAATAGAAGCAACAACCTGGAGCTTCAGAAATCATGTGAGAACGGTCATGTCTGTCAGGACAATAGTGACTGGAAAGGAAGAGGACTTCGCAGAGCTTACTAGTATGTTTTTGAGATGGCCAGGCTCAGGACAGATGACTTTTAGGTCAGGTTTTTGGAGTCTTTTAAGCCTAAAAGTGGTGACACCTTTGACGTTTTTTTATCAGACGAATGGAGAGCGGACCCTCCCTGGGAACCGGGAGGGAGATTTCTGGAACAGAAGGCTGTAGGGCTCTGCTCCGTGTGGACGCTCCTGGGGCCAGCGCACAGCTGGGGGTTAGAGGCATGGTGCTCCTCTCTGTCTCATCCGGCTGCAGTTCACTTAACGACCTTCCCTCTCTGCAGAACGACACAAATCTGCTCACGTTTTGGGTTGTCACGACGGAGGGCTGATTCACCTTCAGGTTGTCAGCTTCAGCCGGAGCAGGTCTGCGAGGAACCCCGGGCGGGCGGACAGCAGCGCGCGGGGCGCAGGTGTCCTCGTGGCCTCCAGGGGCGCTGCGACCCACGCGGAGGCCCGAGGCGTCCAGGGGGAGCTGGCCACACACAGGTGGGATTCCGAGCAGGGAGACCCCAGGCGGGTTCCCATGGCAGGAACGGAGGAAGCGAGGCCAGGCGTCGCGCACGGGGCTCCTCGCGCGCTTAGGGACCTGCCTTTCAGAGCCGCTGGCGCGGCAGCAGGAGCGCAGGATCTAAGGCTGATAAAGGCCCTCCTGGGGCAGGGGGGCGGGGAAGGCGGGGTGAGCCCGAGGAAAGACCACAACGTGCGGATGGAGGTGCAGGGGACTGTCCCCTGTCCCCGACGCTGAAACCAGAGGCATTTATTTTAGGGGACAAGGGGCACTTGTGGGTGTGGCAGCAACTGGACGCAACGAACCATTTCCGAGCCAGAAAACGAGCGATTAGACAATGGAAGGGACTTCCGCGGCCACATCGTCCGCACGGCAGTCGCCGAGTTTCAGAAACGCCACGCGGGATTCGGGGCTATCGGGCACCTGGAGCCCGGGCTGCCGCCACCGCCACCCCAGCAGCCCCGCCGCCCTGCCGCCCCGCCGCCCCGCCGCCGGCAGGGGGCGCCCGCGCGCGACTAAAAGGCGCGGTCGTGGCGGGCGGCCTCAGTGCGGAGCTGGGCGGCCCGGGACGCGGGCGGGAGAGATCGGCGCGGGCAGGGCGCGGCGGGCACAGCGCAGAGCGCACACTCCGGCACGATCGGCGGGACCCGACGGTGGCGCCTCCGCAGCCGTGACTCCGGCCCAGCGCCCCACTGTCCAAGCCCGCCGCCCCCCCGCCCAGCCCGCCGCGCAGCCCCGGGCTCCCCCATGGGCGCCCGAGGCCGGGGCGCCCCCGCGCGCGCGGCGCCTGCTGCCCTGGGCGGCGCTGCTGCTCCTGGCGGCGCTGGTGCCAGTGGTCTCCGCGGCGGGAGCTCCAGGTACGCGCAGCCGGGGCTGGGCTGCCCGGCTCTCTGCGCCTCCTCCCGCTTCTCTGTCCGCCTGCACACACCGCCCGCCCGCCTGTCGCGCTGGGACCGCCGCCCCGCTCCGTGTTGGCTGCGTGTCGTGTCACTAACCTGTGCGTCCTCCTCGCTCGCGGGCCAGGGCGCAAAGGGGCGGATGGGGACGCGGGATCTGGGCACCCGGAGTCCCGCGCGCAGGAGGAGGGAGCGGGGACGCCGTCGGCGCCAGGGGCCCTCGGTTCCATCCTTGACCTCGAAGTTTCCGCGCCCAGGAGTCGGGAGACTGGAGCTAACTTCCCGGGGAGACTCAGCAAGCGTGCAGTGGGGGGAGAAGGCCACTTCTTGGAGTTGCCGCGGCGGCATCCTCTCCCCTCCGTCCACCTGCCCCGAGGCGGGTGCCTGTCGGTGGCGGAGAGGCAGGACTGATGCCCCAGAAGCGCGCGGGGAAAGGCGCGCGCTGCCGCGGGCGGTGGGGACCCGGGCGCCCGAGGGAAGCCGCGCATCCCGGCGGGAACCTGGGAGCTGCGAGGGGACCCGGGTCTCGGGCGCAGGGACAGGGCCGGGGGACAGTCGGTTCCGGAGAAGCGCACCCTTCCCCGGAGGCGGAGGCTGAGGCTGGGGACGGGGTGGTGGCTGTTCTCTGTGGGACTGAAACGTGAGCGGCGCTGCTCCGAGAACGCCAGCGCGCTGTCCGCGCTCCTGCCCGTCTCCCTCGGAGAGACCCGTTTGCGGCGGGGGTTCGGGGTTTTCTCCCTGCGCCTTTGGTGGGCCTGGTTCCCACCTCCTGGGCAGGCATTTTCACGCTTGAAGCCCTGCGGCGTTTATTCGTGCCATCGGTTTGCAGGAATCCAAGAAGTCGACTTTTTTGTCGACACTGCTCCCTCCCAGCTGGGCTATGAAAATTCAGATTCCAGTGCGGGCTCCTAGTTAAAGGACGCTACTTAGGGCCTCTGTTGCCCATGGTTACAAGGGAAAGGGAGACGGTGGGGGATCACATCGACTTTTGGTTCTTTTCGGAGGGTGCATCCTGCACAACGCTCGCTGCCCGTTTGCGCCACGGGCTGGGGCACCAAACGCCACTTTCCTCATAAAAGACAGTCCAGTGGTAGTTGCTGTTCTCCTCTCTGTTAGCCTCTCTGGGAAAGCAGTCGCTGAGTCTGTTGCTCAGTATCTAAGAATAAAACTAAAGCCTTTCGACTTCTCCTACAACCCATGCTTTTCTCTCTGTCCTAAACAAACCTTTTCTGAATGTTGAAAGAGTTTTTGTTCCAGAAGGCGGACTGCAATGGAGCCGATGCCAAACGGGCTTCGCGATGGTTCCAGCTCTGTCCCTGTTAGATTCCCCTGCCACCTGCCCAGGGCTCCGCCCGGGGGTGTCTGAGGTGGGGGCTGCCCCCGCATCTCCTCCCCTGGCCCCCGCCCTGCATGGCTGAGCTGTGAAATGCTGGGGCTGGAACCCTTGCTGGCACTTCTCTCTCATGTGTTGACGTGGAATTTGCAGTAAAATGATGACCAGACTAGAAATGGACAAAGGGGGACAGGCCCGCTCTGAAATAGGTATTTACTGCACTTACTGAAAGGATGGAAGGAAGAAGCAGACGCGCCCTGTGGCGAGCTCCCGGGCTGGGAAAGAGATCAGGGGGCACATAATTTGTTTCATCTGTTGCTCTGGAAGGCGTCCTGTCTGCATTCTGAGTCTGACGGCAAGGCCGTGGCCACGGTGCTCCCTCTCTGGCTGAATTAGTGCAACACCCAGCAAGCTGCTGGATCCGGGCGCTCCCCTGCCCCCCAAATCCTTTTGTGGCCAGAATCCCTCCAATGAAACCACGTTAACAGTGGCAGACCCCACAGCTCCGAGGGACTTTCCTTAAAATAGAGGTGGTTTGCAGGGCGCACTGAGGATCTAAATAAGCCCTTCAACTTGGTGGTCAATTAAAACATAAAACAAGCAAGTGCCCCCCCCCCCCCCACCACCACGCTGGTGCTTGCCAGGAGACCTTTTTCTGAAAACATATGGAGGTACACACACTCACATACATGTATAGTGGTTTTCTTAGGGTAGCAGTGGGCGATTTTAATTTTTTCTTTAAAGCTTAAAGACCCTTTCAGGGAACCCGCAAGATCAAAACTATTTTCAAAGTGATGCTAAGACACGTCTGCCTTTTCCGCAAAGTTCAATGGTGATCCCCAGGACAAGCACTTGTGCGACGGTTTAAGCTGTGAACAGAACTGGCTGCTTTTCCCCAAGAACACCACACTCACCAGAAAGAATGACTGCAGACAATCCAGCTATTCTGACCTGGGTATTCGGCAGATGGCTTCTCAAAAATGAACGAAGAGGGGCCAGCCACTGCTAGGAAAATCACTGCTGGGAGGTCCTGCCAGGGGGAGCATTTGAGCTTTCAAGTGAAACTTAGAATTTTGCCATCTCCAGCATCATACATTTAGAAGCTTTTTAATACTTAAAACCCTTTCTAACAAGACCAGTGGTGGCATGAATGGATGTGATGTTTAAACACTGTGTTATAAAACACGTCAGCTTGTAGTTGGTCTGCATGACCAAGCGAACCTGTAAATCCGAGTGACCGATGCAAGGTGTTACTAAGTCTTGCCTGTCTGAACAGTCCGTCCGAAATTCGAGCGAGCCCAATGGACTTTTAATGTGACAAAATGTCAACACTTTCTTTACATGGTTTCAGAGTCTACATTGCAACTAATCTTGAGGAAACTTCTACTTGATGAGTTTTGGGGTAGTATCAAAGATTTTCCAGGATTACCCATAAGGCTGTTATAGTGTTTGATCTCTGTGAGGCTAGATTTTTTTTCAGATACTTCCACAGAAACAGCATGCTGCCGTAGACTGAGGGATAGTAGACAGGAGGTCCTGCCGTCTTCTATTAAAGAGATTTGTCAAAATGCAAAACAGTGCCACTCTTCTCACTATTTCTTTTTGTTTTAGAAAAACAGTTATTTTTTTCATAAAATTTTTTTTTTCTTCAAAAAGCTTTATTGTTTCCATTTGGTCCAATGCATGGGAGAGGGCTTCAGGGTGGTTAAAAGAATGGCTAGTGGTTTTGGGAAGAGGCTCAGAGGAAGGCAGAGGGACCCCTCAAAGGCCTCTGGGCTCCACAGGCTCCTGGCCGTGCTTGAGGGGGAGCCTTTTGAAGAGATACTCACCCAGCCCAGCCTGGGGGCCGGCAGCCTGGGGAGGTGAGTCAAGTGTCACCCATCTCCTTGATGAATTTCACCTCCTCACCCCGGAAGTGGTTCTCCAGGAAGTCACAGGGATAAGGGCCTGCAGCTCCCAAAGGGCCAGGGTCAGGTTCCTCTCCAAGGCCAAGGCCGTCTCCATGGCACCCTGAGTTTTGCCCACTCACCTTGGGGAGGCGTCAGCACGTCCTGGAAGAGAGTGTGGCCACCGCGCTGGCTTTGCATCTTTAAGAGACCTGGGTGCCCTCGCTGGGAAGCAGTGGCCCTGCCCTCGGGAGCCACATCATCCTGGCGGGTGGAATTAGAAGCCCAGAGAGAGGTGGGTGTGGGAGGCCCTCGGATGCAGGCTGGCCAGGCGGTTGACGGCAGCCTCCACCTCGGAGGAAGAATTCTGACAAATTTGGGAGCTCATGGTGGTTCAGCAATGATAAGTTAAGGTACAAAAACAAAAAAACCAAAAACGGTGTTGGCTGGTCTCTGAGGCTGAAGATGGCTGCGGTGGTTCCGAAGGTGGTGACTGGGAAAGACGGTGGAGGGTGGCCGGAGGCTGGAAGAAGGGGCGTCCCTGGTGTCCTGTCCAAACACTGTTGAAGCAGGAGACAGAGCTGGGACCGCCGAGGGCACTCCTAACACAGTATTTTCATGTCAACATGTAATGGTTTACTCTTGCTATTTTAAAAAGAAATCAAAACAGAGTTTAACCTCTTCCTAGTTTTAATTTCTGGTCAGTAGTTATCGGTAGATAAAACCCACGTGGACAACCTCTGTAAGATCCGCATTCGTTTGAGTAGAAGGGATCTGGAGAACGGAAAGTTGGATACCCACTGGTTTATAGGAGGGAAGTCGGCTCAGCATCAAGACGCAGGGCTGGAGCCTGGGGCTGTCATTCACCCGCTGGTGGCCTCAGGCAGTGAGTCAGTCTCCACTAGCCCAAGAATGTCTGTAGAAGCCTCAGGGGCTTTCCTGGGCCAGCCTGCCTCCAGCTCTGCAGCGGGTCCCTCCTCCGGCTGTTCTTCTCTTCGAGAGGAGGGGTGAGCACACCCTTCCCTTGTACATGTGCACTGGAGCCCACACACGTGAAAGACCTGTTTTACTCATCAGCTGAGCACACGGTTCATTACTGTGCAATTAGAGGTTGTAACAGGATTGGAGAGAGACCATTCATGTCCCTGGAAAGACATCACCGGTGGTTCCAGAGCATTATCGATATGTCCTACCAAGACCATATCTTTATTTAAGTCATAAAGGCCCATTCCCTGAACACAGGCAGGGGAGTGGCAGGTTGCATTAATTTCTATTGCTGTTGTAACAAGTTACCACAAACTTAGTGGCTTAAAACCAAATAAATGTATTCTCTTAGAAGTTCGGAGGGTCTCACGGGCTAACATCAAGGGCTGTGCTCCTTCTGCAGGTCCCAGGGCATAATCCAGCCCCTCTCCCAGCTTCTAGAGGCGCCCATGTGCCTCCACTCTGAGCCCCGTTGGCAATCACTCCCCTTATATCCATAGGGTTCCCACTTTCCTGTCTGCTCTTCCGATTACAAAGCCCTGGTGATTGCATTGGACCCAGGCACAATCTCCCCACCTCCAGACCTTTCATTTAATCACACCTGCTAAGTCTCTTTTGCCCCCGGGAGCTCACGTGTTCACTGTTTACAGAGATGAGGCCATGCCATCTTTGGGGGCAATTATTGTGCTGTGGCAGGGTGAGGGTGGGTTTCAAGGGGAACCCCACGCTGTGCTGGTTGGGGAGCAGACTTCTTTTCA